CGGAGACTTTTTATTTCCCTGCAGGACGTCTGTCCAACGCTGACGCGTCCATTCCCGGGGTCAGGCCCGGCGTCCACGCTGGGAGTTTACTGAGAGCGGCTGCAGAGGTCAAAGGTTAAGTCTCTGCAGGAGGGGGGCGGGGTCAGTGGTGCTAACCTCCAGGTCAGAGGATTTTATCCTGTTTATAAACCGTGTTTGTGTGTCTGCTGTCAGACAACGTCTGCCCAATGTGAACCAGCCCGGCCCAGTTCCTGCTGCTGCACCACCACTGCTTCACCAGTCAGGAGGCCCACCAGGTGAACAGCCAGTTCCTGCTGCTGCACCACCACTGCTTCACCAGTCAGGAGGCCCACCTGGTGAACAGCCAGTTCCTGCTGCTGCACCATCACTGCTTCACCAGTAAGGAGGCCCACCTGGTGAACAGCCAGTTCCTGCTGCAGCACCATCACTGCTTCACCAGTAAGGAGGCCCACCTGGTGAACAGCCAGTTCCTGCTGCTGCACCACCACTGCTTCACCAGTAAGGAGGCCCACCAGGTGAACAGAGAGCCGAGTCACAGCTGAAACCTGAGGACGTGCAGTTGGACCGCCACCTGCTGGATGTAGACGTTGGAGCCGAGTCTTCTCTGTGTCCTGGTGCTGCTCGATAATCCAGGTAGAAAAATCTAACAAAGTAAAGTCTGGTCTTCTGGACGGATTTAAAAAAATAAAAAATAAAATAATAACGTTTTGTCTTTTAATTCAATTCAATTCAGATTATTTATAAAGCACCAAATCACAACAAAGTTGTCTCAGGGCACTTTAAAGAAACATTCACATAAAAGAAAATTACTAAAGTTCTCTATCTAAGGAATTTTTTTAACCCATAGGACTTCTTCAGTCTGAGGTGCTGTTTTCAGCTCAGTCTCTTAAATAGCACCTTCTCAGAGTGGATCAACCAGTTTGCTGCTGACAACCAGAACCAGCTGATCACATGCTCAAGAAGGACCATCAGCCTAACAATGGATCATTAGCACCTGATGGCTGTTTACTGTTCACAGAGGGCTGAGTGATACTAGCAATCACAGCATTGTAAGAGGGGGACAGTTGAACCTGGAGGCTCCACCCCTGTTTAATGATGGACGATTTATTTTCACAAAGATGGCCTCCTTTACTCCTCTCTCAAACCATCGTTCCTCTCTGTCCAGGATGTGAACATCTTCATCACCATGTGAGCAGCTGGTTCTGGTTGTCAACAACAAACGGGTTGATCCACCATGAGAAGGTGTTGCAGCTCCTCAGACTGAAGAAGTCCTTTGGATGAAAGACGAAACGTCCAGAGGACCTGACTTTACTTTGTTAGAGTCTAAAAACTAATGACGAGACTTTTTTTTTATGTCCTTGGCTCAACATTTTGAGCTGGACGTGCGCAGGAACAAAGAATGAGAAGAATTAAACAGTCCCGTCTCTTCTAGAGTTTCAGCTCGTGGTCTGAGAGGGAACGGACGCAGATCTGAGAGTTTCCACCGTTCAGAATAATCTCACACTCCAACTCATAAATAACGTCTATAAATAAACCGGCGAGGTTAAAAAGCACCAAATGTTCTGCTTCACACAGAGAAGGCATGAACTTAAGTTGGGCTTCAAGCGAAGGGCTGCAGTTCACAGCAGGAGCCAGCAGAGAGAGTCAGCATCCAGGACTTCTCACAGAGTGGCGTGAACACGTGAAAAACTAGAGACATCTCTTCTTTCTTTCCTTTCTTGATAAAAACAATCAGATAAATGATCACCAGTACAGTTTCAGAAACAACTCCACACCTTTAGCTGTGATGGAGTTTCTGAAACTGAATACAGTGGGTGTGTTCATTGATTTATGAGCCATGAACGACTAAACGTGAACAATAAGTTTACAGGGGTTGCACATTAGTGGTTAAAGAGTTATTTGAGTAATAGGCTGCAAAATGTACAAATTAACAACAAAAAGTCACAAACTGAAACTATAAAATGTGGTATTCCTCAAGGCTCAGTTCTTGGACCTATACTTTATTTAAATTATATTTTTACAGTATCCACTATTTTGAAAATTATAATGTTTGCTGATGATACAAACTTTTTTTTCTGGAAAGAATATGGATGAACTAATACAAATAGAAGACAAAGAGCTAGCTGAGTTAAAAAAAAAAAGTGGTTTGATTATAATAAGCTATCTTTAAATGAAAAAACACAACAACTAAATGTATGGTATTTACATATAAATAGAAATTGACAGAGTTTATGAGACAAAGTTTTAGGTATCATTCTGGACAAAAAAAAATAGGTGGAAGCATATTGACTATATTAGAAATAAAATAGAAAAAACTATTGGAATATTGTTTTTCTGCGCTCGCTCTCGCACAAGGTGGACACATTTTCTTTCCCTCCCCTGTTCTCCTCCTCCTGCTGCTGTTTTGCTCTCTGTGTCTCAGAGCTCTTGGTAAACAGAAAATACTGTCATGGATCTGGTGAGCTGGACTTTCAACGCAATCGGCAACATCTTTTCAACAAAGCGACAGGGTCCTGGAGAGCCCTCATGTCCTGCTGAGACTCACGCTGCAGGATATCTCATGGACGTGGGAGCTGATGCGTCTTTTCGTTCAGTCTCAGGAGGACGCTGAAGACATACATGTATATAACTGGATTTATGATAACATGTTTCCTGCTTTTTGAATCGTCTCGTTCCTGGTTTATCAACATGCAAAGACGACGGCTGTAGCTAATTTGTTTCTGTTAGTGATATTACGCAGGTGGAAGGAGGAGGTTCTAGTAACGTTTTTAATGTGGGGGATAAAAGACATGTCCTGATCAAAAATAACACCAAGGTTTTTAACTTTAGAGCTGCAGGACAGATTAATGCATCTAAGGAGGGAGAAAGACTCAGAGGAAACTGACACAGATCTGAGAGTTTCCACTTGTTCAGAATAATTTCACACTTTAACTCGTAAATAACGTCTATAAATAAACCAGCGAGGTTAAAAAGCACCGAATGTTCTGCTTCACACAGAGAAGGCCGTGATTGTGTCAATTATTAATGCAACTTAACTAGTGCTGGAAAGTATAAATATGACCTAAGACAGCATCAAATCCTAAAAGTACAAGATAACCCAGTTAAACAAATGAGACAAAAATATTATACTTAATAAAAAAAGAAAAGATTGTAAACTCAATAATCCAGGTAGATAATAAAAAAGGTTAAATCATGTCATCTGGACCATTTTCTTTAAGAGAGAAATGTTTCATCCCCCATCCAGAGGACTTCCTCAGTCCTTCATCCAGAGGAATTCCTCAGTCCCCCATCTAAAGGACTTCATCAGTGCCTCATCTAGATGACTTCCTGAGTCCCCATCCAGAGGACTTCCTGTTTTTAAATCTCTGAACACACTTTTGGCTTTTCACTCAGTTTGAACTGTTGGTTTTAAACTTGTTTTATTGTTTTACGGTTTGCTCTTTTATGATTTTAACAACTGATGTTACGGTTTTCATGCTCGTACCTGTTAGTGCACAGCACCTTGACCAGCGGTGTTGTTCTTAAAGTGCTTTATAAATAAAGTTGTTTTGTATTTGTGCCGATGAAGCGCTGTTCAGACAAAACTAGTGCAGATATGGATCTGACGTTCAGCTCGTACGAGAAGCCACAAACTCATTTTCAGCCGAAACACAGGATATGGCGCTCGTTCGTGCACACTGCTGCAGAAGTGAAAACACGAGAACCAGAAAACTTATTTTCTCAGACTCCGGCGCACAAAGTCCACGTTTTTATTCAAACCATGCACCAAGAGTATGTTTAATAAAGATGTATTGATTTATTTCACTAAAACAAGTACAAGATGCTGCCAGAGCTGTAAAAAACATGATGCACATTTAAAAAAATAAAAACTCTTTCAAAGATGTTTTTCTCTAAAGATCACGTCAAAAACAAACAAACAGAAAACAAAATCATTTTTATGATTTTAGGACGTAAATCAGCTTTTCTTTGGTAAAAGTAAAGTTTCCTGTAAATACAAACCCTTAAATATTTTACACAAAACTTGACACCAACATCTGACTAGTTCACAGAAAAGTAAAAATTATCATCAATTCTTCATATTAATACAATTTAAACAATTTCACTGAAAAACAAACAGAATTTCTTTATTTTTTAAACATATTTTATGAGTTAAATATTAATGATTATTCTTTATTTTATTCTATTTCTTTCATTTATTTTAGTAAAGCTAGTCCAAAGTCTGTAGAAAAACTTGGGAAAGCACAGCTAAAAACAGTTTGATAAAATAAAGGTTGTTAAAATTATAATTAACAAAAACAACATTAATAACTGAAGAAGAATAAAAGTAAACGATATAACCAACAAAATATGATGACGTTGAGGCACAGTTCATCTTATTGTCTGTTTTCAGCTTATAACTTAGACTACGCTAATCTAATCTCAAATAATCTAATTAGCTGCTACAGACTCGTCCAATTCAACAATTAAAAAAACAGCTGTTTTAATGTGTGTTTGTGTTAATGCAGCACGTCACGATGATCCGTTTAGTTTGACTTGGAGTAAAAAAAAAGGCTAAAATCTTTGTTTTAATGGAAACATGACAAACGTCAGGTCAACGATTAATTTCACGTCTGCTTGAGACTAAAGTTCGTTTCAAACAGAAGAGAATGTGCTGTCAGACGTTAAAACAGAAAAAAGCAAAGTATAAAGCACAACTTACAAGTTTCAATCATCTTTCAGTATTTTATCTAAATTAGTTGGAGCACGTGCTGTTAGTGCAGTTTGAGTTGGATATAAACCAGAAAATCATCTGCGTAAAATGATACTTTGAGCTTCGTTTTGCTAACGCAGCTGTAAATATCGTCAAAGTCGTAGTTTTGTCGTTTCACTCGGAGTTATTTTCTGTTGAGTTTGTTCAGTGGAAACATGAAGAAAGGAAAAGCAAGAACCAGTCGTTCGTCTCAGACCGAGTGACGGCCATTTTGTCTGAACTGGGACTTTTATCCAACGTGTCCTCTGGGAGCCTTCTTTCTGGGCTGAGGGAGAGGAGGAGGATGGTCTTCGTCGTTGTCAGCCGGTGGAGGCGCCTGAAGGAGGCAAAACAGACGATCGAGTTGAGGAGGAAATTTATGATTTATGTGAAAACCACGTGGAGGAGAGGAGCTGAATGACTCGGCTGAAACTTGCCAAAGGAGCCGAAGCTACGTGGTAAAAGCTAAAAGATGCTAACTAAAAGCTAGAAGGAGAAAAACACCAGCTAAAAGCTAAATGTTTTTTTTTTTTTTTTTAACTTTAATCACCCAGGAAAATAACGAATTAGATTAAGAAAACTTTTTTTTCCAAGAGTGATATCATAAGACTAGCTAAAAGCTAGAAGTATCTTAAAATATTAGCTAAAATCAACAAGTAGCCAAAGGCTGGGTAAAAGCTAAAAGTAGCAAAACGCTAGCTAAAAGCTAAATGTTTTTATTTTTTATTTAACCCCAGGAAAACAACAAATTTAGATTAAAAAAAAACTTTTTTGCAAAAGCGATATATGAGAAGTATCATAAGATTAGCTAAAAGTATCTAAAGTATTAACTAAAATCAACAAGTAGCCAAAGGTTGGGTAAAAGCTAAAAGTAGCAAAAGTTTTTCAAAAAACTAAACGTAGCAAAGGTAAGGCGAAAGTATTAAATAGTACACTAGATGCTAAAAGTAGCTAAAAGCTAGCTAAATTTCAAAAATAGCTAAAGGCTAGCAAAAACATTAGACAAAAAAAGCAGCATTAACAAACACAAATTGAGCCGACTTTGCAGGGACTAACATTCTGAAGGAATCGAACAGATAATACATTTTAACGGAGAAAACATTTGTGAATAAAGTTAAATATTTAAAATAAATATAAAAGTTACAAAATCCAAAGTCGTGGCCTGCGTCTCCTCACTGAGCCGAACATTCTGATCCAGGAAGGAAGATGCTGTGATGTTTTAGAACGTAGGAATCTGAATGAATCTGTGAATGCTGAAGAACCTGGACCCAGGTGCAGACCCTCGGGGTTCAGGTGCAGATCTTCCTACCTGAGCTCCTCGTCTGGGCTGAGGCTGAGGCTGGCCCTCGGAGGGCTCCGGGGCCCTGGGGCGCTGGTGCTGTTTGGAGCGACTCTGTCGGGGGCCGCAGTGGCCGGCCTGCTGCTGCTCGTGGTGGCGGTGTTGGGGGTGAGGATGATGACGGTTGGGATGATTATCGGGAAGAGGAGGAAGATGGTGGTGATGGTTCGGCTGTTCGTTGTTGGTCCAGCCCAAACGCAGCTCCTCCTCATCTGGAAACACCAACAGGCGTCAACGTTTCTCACGGAAAATAAAATATTTGTGCAAAGTGACAAAAAAAACCCTTTAAGTTTATCCTGAAGTTTAGAAGACGGTCAGCTACAAGCTCAGTTCCACGAGAAATGGACCGTTGTTTAAATGTAAATAAAGTAAAATATTAAAATACACTGGAACATGGTGAACGTGTTGAAACTAAGAAGAAGAAGAAAAGTAATTCAGATTTTAATGGCAGCAATATCCAAACATGATGAAATCGAACAACAACAAGATGTAAGAGAAACATCTGGAGGAACAGTTAGTTACTAATGAGGTGAATTATCCGCAGGTTAGAGATGTGGGAACAAAAAGAGACTTTGAGAAGTAAAGAAGGACAGAGGTTCAGCTGTCGGCCTGAACTCTTTCAGAATAAAGGTCCTGAATAAAGACTTTCATCTCCAGCTCATAATCTGATTAACAGATTAGAAGAATCTGTAGAAACCTCTGAGTTCAAAGGACGAGGATGAAGGTGATTGTGGTCTTCGGGCCCACAAGGGCCATTACATTCAAAACCAGGTCTGGTTCTGGTTCTGGGCTCAGTAAACACAGTTCATCCACAGACGCTGATTAAAGCTCTATCTGATGGATGATGGATGGAGGATGGATGGAGGATGGATGGATGGATGGATGGATGGATGATGGATGGATGATGGATGGATGATGGATGAATGATGATGGATGGAAAGACGATGAATGTTTGGATGGATGATGGATGGATG